TTGGAGGACATTATGCTGAGTGAAATAAGTCAATCACAGAAGGACAAATGTAGTATTAGTTCTTGTTGTGGAGGGTAAAGGCAAGGTTTATATATGGAGGGAAACTTTCTTTGTTGGTTGCTCTTGGTTGGTTGGTTGGGTGGGGAGGGGAAGGAACACTGCAAAAAAAAAAAATGCATTGACCTATGTCACTTTAGTTTTGTGTATTTCACTGTACATATATTATATTTCAATAAAATGCATTAAAAAAACCTGAATAAGTAGCCAACATTTAAAAATCAATCATATTTCCAGCTTACAATGTGGCAACACTGGACTTGCATTCCCGCAAAGGAAAGACCATTTGGAACTAACAACGGTTACTCCCTTTGGAAGGACACGTGCTCTTCCAGTTCACCAAAGTTCTCACCATGTTCTTATTAGTGCAAGGCTAAAGGATAATGGTTGTTTATTATTATGGGTATGATTTTTTTTTCTTATACTGATCCATATCATTAGTTTCACACACAAGTAAAATGTTGCTGAAGATAATTCAGAAATGGTGGCAGCAGTACATTGACAGGGAACTGCCAGAAATTCAAACTGGATTCAAAAGAGGTCATCATTGCTGATGTCAGATCTTGACTGAAAGCAAAGAACAAGAGAAAGATGTTTACCGATGTTTTATTGACTATGCATATGCATTTGACTGTGTGGATCTTAACAAATTATGGATAACACTGTGAAGAATGGGAATTCCAGAGCACTTAATTGTGCTCATGAGGAACCTGTACATAGATCAAGAGGCTGTCATTCGAACAGAACAAAGGGATACTGCATAGTTTAAAATCAGGAAGGGTGTGTGTCAGGATTGGATCCTTTCACCGTTTAGTCAGTCTGTATGCTGAGCAAACAATCTGAGAGAACACGGCATCAGGATTGGAGGAAGACTCATTAACTACCTGTGATAGGCAGATGACACAATCTTGCTTGCTGAAAATGAGGACGTGAAGCACTTACTGATGAAGATCAAAGACTATAGCCTTCAGTAGAGATTACAGCTCAACATAAAGAAAACAAAAATCCTCACCACTGGACCAATAAGCAACATCATGATAAATGAAGAAAAGACTGATGTTGTGAAGGATTTCATTTTACTTGGATCCACAATCAATGCCCATGGAAGCAACAGTCAAGAAATCAGACGATGTATTGCATGGGGAAAATTTGCTACAAAAGATCTCTTTAAGGGGTTTAAGAGCAAAGATTTCACTCTGAAGACTTAGGTGCCCCTGACCCAAGCCATGGTATTTTCAGTAGCCTCATATGCATGTGAAAGCTGGACAATGAAAAAGACTGAAGAAGAATTGATGCATTTGAATTGTGATGTTGGTGAAGAATAATTAAAATACTGTGGATTGCCAGAAGAAGGTAAAAATCTGTCTTAGAAG